AAGAACAACCTGCGCCATGTGGAGAGTGAGGTGCTGAAGAAAGAGGTAACCCCTTGCACTGTGCTGCGCTGCACTGCACCCCAAGGTGGCATCCTAGCAAAGCCCCTGGCAGATGGCTTTCACTTCCCACTGTCTGGGCTCAGTGGCTGCACTACAGTAGGATCCAGGAAGGATCTGGCCAGGGGCCTGGGGATGGGGGCTCTCCTAGGATGCTCACTGCAATGAGATAAAGTTTGAAGCAGCAGTCATTGCTTCTCTGGGGACCCATCATTAATGGGAGTGGGAGGTGAATCCTGACCTGGGATCCTAACAAGCAGCATGGCCAGGGCCTTCTCAGTGTGCACAGGTGACGTTACACTCTCACTGTGCTTCAGGGGTGGGAGAGGTACCCTAAGAAGGCAGCACCCCAGTGAGCATGGGGAGCATGGCTCTGTGGCTGTCATAGCCTGCCAGGGAGCAGCAGAGCCAGAGAGGACAATAGGTGCTCTGTGAAACTCTTGGGTCTTCGCCACCTCTGGCCAGGGCTGCAGTTTGGAAACTGTGATGGCTGGGTTTATAATTTGCTTAATTGGAGGGGGATTGTTAGGTGGGGAGGGGCTGGTTTCAGCTCTGGGGGTAGCTAATGCCCTGGCCTGCCCTCCTCCTTAGCAAATGCCCCAGCTGTTCCCAACCCCCAGCCCAGCACTCCTGGCTGGTTGTAGCAGGGAAATACTTCTGCCTCAGTGCCTTCCTGTGTGGATGGACAGCCCTGCCAGTGGGAGAGGCCCAGGGAAGTGTTGGCACAGCAGGATAAGGGCTCAAACTATCTCCGTGGCTTCTCTCTTCCTCATCTGCTATTGAGATGGAAACATTGGGGGTGAACACTGGTGAGAAGGAGAGGCAGAGGTAGGGCCAAAACTGGCGCTTTGCACTGTGTGCATGCCTGTGGGCACAAGAAAGCAGCAAGGCTGGATTCAATCAGGAGCCTTGCTGCATGCCAAGTAGTGCGGGCAGTGCAAGCCTTTGGTTGGGCCTGGATTGTGTAGCACAGATAGCATTGCAAGAAAATAAATACACGAGTGTCCCATTTCTCTGCAATGTGACCCCCGGGTGGCGCAGCAGACCTGGAGCCGGTGCAGTACCAGCTAGTACCTTCCCCAATACCTCCAGCGTGGGAAGAGGAGGAAGTTTCCCTCTGAGCCAGACAGACTAGGCAGAACCAGCTGGAGCTTCCCACCACAGGTCTCATCTCTTGAACATGGGCAATGGCAGTAATGAGATGCAGGCAGCCCTGAGGGCAGGCTGACAGCAATGCAGTGCACCGTGTAGTGTAGTGTAGTGCAGTGCAATGTAGTGGGCCTGGAGAGCATCCTCCACAGCCAGTGGGTCAAATGGATGTGGCACTCCCAGGGGAAAACTACCTAGCCCGTGGAGTGAGCCCTGTGGCCAACAGGCAGGGGAGTATCAGTTGGTTGGAAATGGATCCGCAGGAGGGAGGGTTACTAAAGCCAGGCCCTGCATAATCGCTACCTGCACAATGTCGGCGCTTGCCCAGATAATGATCCTGCTGCGGCAGGTTCATTAACAATTGAACATGCCTGTTTTCAGCACCGTGTAGAGGAAAGAGACACCAACAACTGAGCTGCCAACAGGGAGGTGAGAGCCCGGTAGGCCAGGCAGCAAACAAATCCCAAGAATAGGATGGCAGCAGTGGAGGCTGTAATGCAATCTGCCTTGCACTGCCCCCCTTCTCCCTCTAGGCCAGGGGGCACTGCTGCCTGGAGCACATTGCTGGCTCGGCTCTGCCCACTCCACGCCCCCTGCCCACCCTAGCCCCAGCATTGCTCAGGCAGCATTTTGCCCTCCCTAGATAGTGATGGCTGCAGCTCCTGGGCTCTGCTTGGCCCAAATGCCAATATGCAAAACATATTTGCATGTTGGAGCTCCTGACAGAGACAGGGGTGGTACTCACACCTCTGCATCCCATGTTCCCTGAAGTCTTCTCCCTGCAGAGGCCTGGTGGCTACTTCTCCCACATAAAGAAGGGCACTGTTACTATTAGACCTGCCCAAGGTACATACAAAAGGCCTAGAAAGCCTTCCCGTGTGCAAACCAAACAAATGGCTGCTGCAGCCCTCGCCTCCCCAGCAGACTTGCTGGGTTTTTGCCCCACAGGCCTGAGGCTGTTACAGCCAGTCCTACTTCTACACATGCAGGCAAAGAGCATGGGCTGTTCAGGCCTATGCATGATCCAAGGCCATCCCTAGAGGCCATACCTTCAGGGCTTTGCTCAGCACAGTCTACTCTGGATGCATGTGTCTCTGCCAAGGATCATTCTGGGAATAGTGGTGCTGCTGACCAGTGGTCCACTCACCCTGGAAAGGGTGGCTGGGGAGCCAGCAGCTCTGTGGCATGTGGGCCATGGAGCCTTACTGGCTCATCTGGGCAAGAGGCCTACTCAACTCAGCAGTCCCACATGCTTTATCCATTCTGCCCCATTCTGCTGTGGGTTGGGGTTTGTCTTGGGGGAGGGGTGCTGTGCAGAGAGGTTTAGCCATCATGCATGGAGGGGGCAGAGGGGCTCAGAACTCTGTTTGCATAGGCCAGGCAAGGGGCTGTGACACGTTACTCTGCTAAGTCCCTTTCTAAGTCCCATTCTCTGATCAGTGGCTGCAGTGCTCCCTGGCACAGTCTCTTGCCCTGCCTGGGGTCAGAAGCTCCATCCCAGCCTGTAGCTCACATACCAGCAGGTCCCACTGGGCTCAGTGGGGAGATTCTCCTGGTGTCTGGGAGCCTCCAGGGGCTTACACTGCCAGTTCATTTTCATGCAGGTGGTTATGTGGGCAGGGACACTCCCAGCTCTGCACCCACTGAAGCCTCAACTATGATCAGTACATGTTCACCCTAGCCAAGTGCCCTGCCACTCCTGCCCTAAGCATCTGGGTGCCAGCTGGCTCTTGCCATCCCCATCAGCTAGTGCAGTCTAGTAGGGTGCAAATAAGGATGCATGTGGGTTGGGCTCCTGACTTCCAGTCTAGCCTGAGGACACTGTCAGCTAAGGAAGATGAGGTGGGCCTAAGTGTTGGCAGACAGTCTGTAGGACCTGCCATGCAGGGTACCATGGATGTTTGGGCTGTCATCAGCATGGCACTGCCGTCACCATGCTGCCATCCATTCCCTAACACTGCAGCCATTGCCCTACTGGCAGCCTGAGCAAGGACTGAACCAGGCAATCAAGTGGTGTCTAGCCCAGCTCCTTCTCTGGCTTAGCAGGGTCAGTACATGTATTATGTATTGGTCTGACTGACTTGGGGGCTTAGTGTGATGTGAGTCAGTGCACCCAGTCCTCCCCACTGCTGCCATTTGGATCTTCTCCAGGGTCTCTGACTCCCTCTGAAATTGCAGTGCCCAGGACGGTACCCACCAGCAGCCCAGCCTGCACCGAGTACTACTGCAGTGCTTATGTCAGTGCAGCTACTAAGTGTGTGCACCCTTTTTGTGCAGTGCATGGCTAGCCTGTCTGTGGCGTCTTGTCCATCAGGACCTCCAGCTTGTTCTAAGCAGCGCTCCTACTCAGGCAGTTCTCCCCTCTGCATTTTTGCATTGGGTGTTGCTTCCACAGGTGCAGCACTTTGCACTCGTCTTTGCTCCATTCCTATCTTGTGCCCAGTTCTCTGGCTGTGTAAGATCCTTGAGACTTCTGCTCCTGCCCTCCAAAGTGCTTGCAGCTTCTCCCATGCCTGTTGCCTGCACACTTGCTCCAGGAGCTCTCTGCTCCTCCATCCAGGTCATTAGCAAGCATGTTAAACAGCACTGGGCCCTGCACAGACCCCATGGGACCCTGCTGGAGGCCTCTTGCTATTCTGCCATTGACCCATTGATAGTTACACTGTGTTTGAAATTGTTCAGCCAGTTCTGTGCTCACCCACCACTAAGAGTGCCTACCCCACATTCCTCTGGTTTGCTTATGGGTTAGTATGTGGGACTGGCTTATGAGCCTTACTCAAGCCCAGGTATATGATGCATACCATATTTGTGTCCTCCACCAAACTGGTACCCACTGCAGAGGGTGATACCTGTGCCCCTTCCCCAGGTGCAGGTGGTGCCACTTTGAGGGCTGGGGCCAGCTCTTGCACTGAGCTGAGCTTCTTGCTGATCAGCAAGTATATATCACAAACAGGGTTGTGGAACTGCCCCAGGGCCTCCCTGCCTTGTCGGCACTCTCCACCCAGCCAGGCCTGAGTCTCGGGCCTGTCCAGGACTCCTAGCCACAGATGGGCAAGAGAAAGGTGGTAGAGCCAGAGATGCCCATGGCAGGGCTAATGTTTAGTTATGTCTTAGTGAGGAGAAATGGGAGCCTCTGCCCCAGGATTGGCTGATGCCTCTGGAGTGATGTCATGGCCAGGTGAGCTGATAGGTGTGGGTGCCTCGTTAGCAAGCAGCTGTAACTGGAGAGCCTGGCTCAGGTGTCAGCGCTGTGCTGAGGCCAGGTGTCGGGTGGCGCATCGCTCTCAGGCAGCAGGTGGAGCGGGTCTTAGCCAAGCCAGGCACAGGTAAGAGGGGCTTTTGCTTTGTCCCCCAGCACATCCCCAGCACTTGGCAGAGCATGGCCAGGGGAAGGGTCTGGTGGGTGCCAGGGTTTTGTGAAGTGTGTGGGGGGCACGGCTGGGCTCTGGATCCAGGCTCTGTGCTATGTCACAAAGCCCTTTGCCCCGATATACCCAGCCATGCCTGCCAGCAAGGGACTGCAGAAGTGGCATAATTGCATGCAGGGGGACTGGCAGAACAGTGGGCTGGCATGTCTTGGGAGCAGTGGCCAGGCTAAGGGAAAGGTGTAACTATGTGGGCTGGGACGCAGGAGATGTAACTGACTGCAGGGAGCTCCAGTTAAGTGCCAAGCACAGCAGGGTCCGATGGGACTCCCATGACTTCTCCCCTTCTGCAGCCCAGCCCAAGTGCTTCAGTACAGAAGGGGGTGAGGGCAGCAGGGGGCGGTCTGCAGGCACTGGAGACCTGAGGAACCTTCCCTGAAGCCCAGGGGCTGATCCACATGAGGCATAGTTCTG